TACACATACACATACACATACAGACACACTCAGCAGCATCCCTCTCCCCCTCCAGTTCTGCCCTCCACCACCGCCAAGATGCTGCTTTTGCTGCTGGGGATCATCGTGCTCCACGTCACCGTGCTGGTGCTCCTCTTCGTCTCCACCATCGTTAGCGTAAGTACGGACTTTCCTCTGGCACCGGGGTGCCGGCGAGGCAGGGAGCGGCCGGTGGGGGGGGTATGGCAGCATAGCAAGACCAGAAGGTGTTATTTTTATTTGTGGTTTATTTTCCAGCCTGGCTTTTAGCAGGAAACCTTTACTTGCCGATTGCTGGTCTTACTAACAGTGGGATTTTGGAGCATTTTGCACAGAAAGCTCTTTCCGTATCTGCGCTGTCAGGTGTAACTGGTGGGTTGCTTGGTTGTGTGCTGCAGCGGGTGCTGTTCACATGCAAGACCAGAAGGTGTTATTTTTATTTGTGGTTTATTTTCCAGCCTGGCTTTTAGCAGGAAACCTTTACTTGCCGATTGCTGGTCTTACTAACAGTGGGATTTTGGAGCATTTTGCACAGAAAGCTCTTTCCGTATCTGCGCTGTCAGGTGTAACTGGTGGGTTGCTTGGTTGTGTGCTGCAGCGGGTGCTGTTCACATCACGGAGCAGCTGTTCACATCACGGAGCAGCCTCAGAGCACCCAAACTACCCTCCGTGAGCCTGAAACTGCACTCCCCGTTCATAAAGGAGGTCTACCTGCTAACGGGCTTCAGCCCACAGGACCAGTACAGCCAGTCGGAGCAAAACCCTTTGAAATGGGACTGGTCTGGGCACTGGCTTCTCAGCACCAGCAGTTTTGCTGTCCAGCTCTGCTCCTTTGGGGCTGTGAATTAGGCACAGGCTCTCTCTCCTAACCCACATGGGCTCCTGCTGGCGAATTTCAAGGCTTAAGCTTTGCGAATAGTGGGAAGATTGAGGGTTGGACGCTGCACAGAGTGTTCCCAGCACTGTTCTCGGTCCAGAGCTCAGTTAATGCATCATCTACTTAGGAAGAGGTTTGACTTGGTTTTAAGGCAACAGTTTTGTGGAGCTGGTGAGTTCCAGGCTTGCTTCACCAGGTTCTTCTTTCCCTTATTTTTTTTCTTTTTTTTTTTTTTGGGTGGTAATAGTAGTAGAAGACGTTACAGAAATCTTCCGAGTTGTTAGAAATCACGTGGAAGCATTCAAATAGCCCGGCCAGGCGCCAGGCGAGGACGGCAGAGGGGCGGGAAATGCGCATCCCCCATGGGACTTGGTCCACGTTTAAAGAGAATAAAGAGCTTCTGTTTTTCTGCCGTTGAGGTGAAAGCACCTAAAAGAAAATACCAGTATTTACTTTCCAAACCCCTTTCTAAAGAAAAGCATGTGCCTGGGAGCGCCCGGCCGGGCACACGCGTGCCAGTACGCACCGGGGCTGCTCGATGCCGAAGCCTTGGGGGGGGGCACGTGGCTGCCT